TTCATCTTTTCTTTTCTCAATTAGCAGAAATGTATCATCTAAAAGCAAACCAATCATTAATCATGCAAATCCCAATTCTTTGTGTGCAGTGTTAATTAAAAGAATACAATTAGTACTAATGTTTTTAAATAATTTAAAGCGAAATTGTTATTCATAGTCAACGTGGGAAACACTTTTATACACTGAATTGGAAAATATGTATAGACGAAGATGTATAGACAAAATGTATAGACATTTATCTAAAGCTCACTTCTTTCACTTCTAACACGGAATCCATGGTTAGTGACATTAAACCACTCAACAGAATTCCACGCGACTATGTAACATGGGGTGTGGAGAGATTGTGAATGTAATCACTTACATCACCCTTTAAACTAGCAGTGAGGCACAGGAAGTTCAGATAGATAAAATAATGGAATAATATGATTGCTAACAAATTGGTGAGTTATTTTTACAGAAGATGTTCTAGCTTCTTAAAAGTGATACCAGGTACGGTAGTCATTACCAGTCTATTTGCATCTAAATGTCATTTGTGGTCAAGAAATGTTAATTTTAATGTTAGGTGACTTAAAGGTAGGAATACAATGTAATGGAGCAGCAGGAAATGCTAGCAGAATGCTTGGTTGTATACAGGCCCGTCGCAACCAGGCAAGCAAACCAAGCAGGTAAGCAAACCAAGCAGGGAAAGCGCTTCCTAAAAGGCTGCAGCCACCTGAGCGCTCTATAGAGAGCCTCAGGCGGCTGCAGCACTGCCTCTCTCGTCACCTCCCCTTCCTTGTAGCGTGGCCAAGCTCCTCTTCCTCCTTTCAGTCCGGTACAGGAGATTCAGTTTCCTGTTCCCGGCCGGACTGACAGGAAGTGCACACTGAGTGCTCACTTCCTTTCAGTCCAGTCGGGAACAGAAAACTGAATATCCTGTTACTGCGCGGTACCCTGCCGGACTGACAGGAGGATGAGGAGCCTCGGCCATGCTACAGGGAAAGGGAGGTGAGAAGAACATGGGGTAGCAAAGAGAACATGGGGAGTAAAAAAAACATAGGGAGGGGAGTAAAAAAAACAGGGGGGGAGAGACATGGGGAGGGGAGTAAGAAGGACACAGGGAGGGGGAGGGAGCAAGAAGGACACAGGGGGTGGGAGGAGTAAGAAGGACACAGGGAGGGAGTAAGAAGAACATAGGGAGGAGTAGTAAGAAGAACATGGGGGGTAGTAAGAAGAACACAGGGAGGGGGGAGTAAGAAGAACACAGGAGAAGGGGGTGTAATGAGATGAGGAGAACACGGGGAGTGTGAGGAGAAGGAGATTAGGAGAACACAGGGAGGGGAGGGGGGAAGTGAGGAGAAGGGGAGATGAGGAGAACACAGGGAAGGGGGGGTGAGGTGAAGCGGAGATGAGGAGAACACGGGGGGGGTGAGGAGAATACAGGGGAGGTGAGAAGAGGCCAGTAGGGAAGGGTGGGGGGAGAGGAAAGACCACTAAGGGGCGGGGCAGGGCAGAGCTCTAAGGGTCAGGACAGAGAGCTCTTTCACACTACGCGCACAGCAGTTTTAGATAATTTGCACGTTTGTGAGAACTGAAAAATGTTAACGTGAGTGTGTGTGTTTTAAGTATGTTGGATTTAGTTATTGTGCACTTTTTTAATTTATATTTGATTTTATGGTACAGTGGTGTTTTTTGCAAATGTTCAATTGTTGAAAATGTTCAAATTTTATGCACATTATATGCAACAGCAGTATTTGCACTGTAAACCTTTTTTATTTATATAAAGTGTGGGTGAACTTAAACTGAATGGCTATGCTGTGGTTCCTGTAGGCTTTGCGTGCATGTGGAGGGGAGTTGGGGGGGTCTCCATGTCCATTTTGCTTGGGCCCCCAAATTCCTTCAAACGGCCCTGGTTGTATAGGGAGAGGTATTAGCAGTAGAAAGAGGGACATGGTCATGCCATTGTACAGAACACTGGTGAGACCTCGCTTGGAGTATTGTACGCAGTACTGGAGACCATATCTCAAGAAGGATATTGATACTTTAGAGAGAGTTTAGAGAAGGGCTACTAAACTGGTATATTGGATTGCAGGATAAAACTTACAAGGAAAGGTTAAAGGTAGAGATGAGCGAACCCAAACTATAAAGTTCGGTTTCGTACCGAACATTACGATTTTTTGACCCCCGAACCCGAGCCAGGACATTTCAGTAACAGTTCGGGTTCGAGTTCGGTGTTCGGCGATTTAATGGCGCGTTTTGAAAAGCTGCAGGGCAGCCAATCAACAAGCGTTTGACTCGTGTGCCCTTAGAAGCCATCACAGCCATGCCTACTAATGGCATGGCTGTGATTGGCCAGTGCAGCATGTGACCCAGCCTCTATATAAGCTGGAGTCACATGAGCTCTTATTAGTGTAGGGAGAGGATGCTGCAGCTGTGAGGGATAGATTAGAAAAGAATTCTGGTGTTGAATCTGCAAACTACAGCGATTATTTTTGTGGGTGCTATACTACATTTTTGTACCCTGCCCTGAGCCCAGTGCCATAGAGAAATAAGCAGTTAATCTGCTTGTTAGGTGGGCACTTGCAACTGCATGCCCCACAATTCCGTGCGGCCGGAAGTGACGTCGCGCTTATGACGCGCGTAACGTGATCCGGACGAAAATATGTAAATTCTTAATCAATAACGCTAGTTTTTATAAAAAAATTATGATAAAAGCATCAGATAAGCTATATCTATCCAATTATTACTATTAAATGCTGTTATGTATGTGCAAAAATTATCTGTTTTACTATTGGTTGTACAGTTTTGGCGCCAATTTTAAATTATCTCTATACCTATATAAACTTTAACTAGCCAGGTTAAAATGTTTGCTATCCATTGATAAAGCCTTATACTGCAGAAACGCTTTTGGATACTTTTACTGTTTTTATAAATTGTTAATAAAAAGATTTTGGTCATTTTATACGTTGAAACCATCATCTTTTACTATTACCTGGCTTTTTATATATTTTTTTATATACATTTTATACTGTATACTTTTTTATTATTTTTATTTCCTGGATATAATACTCCAAAGAATCCTAGGTGGGGATTATACCACCTACGCTGTTACATAGAGCAGTTAGCCTGCCCTATATATTGTGAGAATATTTTATTATTTTATTTTATCACCAAGATTTTATTGAGAGCACTATCGCTGTTTTATCTTCTCTCAGAGCTCCTGATATTCTCGTCAAGATCACTCATCCCATATCCCACAAGCGGGGATTATACCGCTGTACGCCTAACAAACTAGAGCTAGCTGAAGCTCTACCGAATGTGAGTGTATCTATTATATTTTATATCTTTTATCGCACATGTGGAACATACTGCACCATTATTGTTTCCTATTTTTATTTCCAACTTGGTTACCTGCCACTACATAGAAGAGGACACTTGCCGTATATCCTGTAAGCGGGGATAATACCGCTGTAAGCCATTCACACCAGAGCTGGATTAAGCTCTGTCAACTGTAAGTAAGAACTCTAAAAATTCTATTTTTACATATTTGGATTATTCTCCAAGTCATTGACATCTTCTGGATATCGTAAAAAGTAGAACTTTGGAAACAGCGATATAGATCCTATTGGACTTAATATTATTATCTATTGTGCACATTGGCGCAGACCCATCCCCCATTTTTTTGCCTTGTCTATTTATTTCCAGGGACATTAGAGGGAGTCCTTGTTTGGGACTGCTGCCTTCCTGATTAGCGCTGAATCTACCCTTTGTTTTGTTTAATCCTGTTCTGGTAGCTCAGTGGGCAACATCAAAGCCAGCTCCAAGGAGTTCCCTGGCGTGGCAGTTCTTCAGACAATGTGCTGACGACAAGACACAAGTGGTTTGCACGCTGTGCAATCAGAGCCTGAAGTGAGGCATAAAATTCTAAACCTGAGCACAACCTGCATGACCAGGCATCTACATGCAAAAACCAAGAAAGGTCTCAGGCTCCTCCTGCTTCCTCTTCTGCTACTGTCTCAGCCTCTTCCTTCACCTCTGGAGTGACAGTTCCACCTGCCACCCCACAAACAGAGGATGTGGTACGCCACCACGTCCACCACCATCCCCAAGCATCTCCACACTGTCCCATGGAAGCGTTCAGCTGTCCATCTCCCAAACACTGGAGAGAAAGAGGAAGTACCCCCCTACCCACCCACAATCCCTGGCCCTTAATGTCAGCATTTCAAAATTCCTAGCCTTTGAAATGCTGTCATTCCGTCTGGTGGAGACAGACAGTTTTAAAAACCTGATGGCGGTGGCTGTCCCACAGTACGTGGTTCTCAGCTGCCACTACTTTTCCATAACTTCCCTGCACAACCAATTGGTAGACAAAATCAGGTGTGCACTGCACAACGCCATCTGTGGCAAGGTCCACATAACCACTGATACATGGACCAGTAAGCACGGGCAGGGACGCTATATCTCCCTAACTGCACACTGGGCAAATGTAGTGGCAGCTGGGCCTAAAGGCGGATAGCAGTTTGGTGCATGTCCTTCCGCCACCGAGGATTGCAGGGCATTTCTCTTTACCTCTTTCTCCTCCTCCTACTCCGCTTCCTCCTCTTCTACCACCTCCTCATCCGGTCAGCGTAACACCTTCACCACCAACTTCAGCACAGCCAGGGGGAAACAACAGCAGGCTGTTTTAAAACTCATATGTTTGGGGGAAAAACCCCACACCATGCAGAAGCGGTGGATGGGTATGGAACAACAGACCGAAGAGTGGTTGTTGCCACTGGGCCTCAAGCCCAGCCTGGTGGTGTGCGATAATGGGCGAAATCTCGTAGATCTGGGCCTAGCCGGTTTGACGCACATCCCTTGCCTGGCGCATGTGCTGAATTTGGTGGTGCAGAAATTCCTGAAAAACTACCCAGATATATCACAGCTGCTGCAGAAAGTGCGGGCTGTCTGTGCGCGCTTTCGGCGTTCTCACCCTGCTGCTGCTCGCCACGTAACTTTGGCCTTCCCGCTCACAGCCTCATATGCTGGAGAGACTGTGCGAGCAGCAGGCGATAGTGGAGTTTCAAGGGCAGCACGCACGAGTCAGTCACTCTGCACCAGACTTGCCCTTCAATAGATCCTCGTTAAAGGATTTAAAGTGTACTCATTCCAATTGCAGAGCCTCAAAAGAGTCCTGTATTGTTATTTTTCGTCACTACCTCCCCGCGTTGGGAGTGGGTAATTTGCGCGCCTGCTGCCTTCCTTGGATGTCGTAGCCGTTTCTCAGGCTCCCTCTCCGGAAATGAACCCTTATTCCCCGTTACCCGTGGTCACCATGGTAGGCGCAGAAAGTACCATTGAAAGTTGATAGGGCTGACATCCGAATGCTTCGTCACCATCACGGGGATGTGTGATCGGCCTGAGGTTATCTAGAGTCACCAAAGTGCCTGCGCAACGACTGCCGAGTTGCCCACATTCTAACTTGTGCTGATTACTGGGTGGCCACCCTGCTGGATCCCCGTTACAAGGACAACGTGCCGTCCTTAATTCCCTCACTGGATCGTGATCGGAAGATGCACGACTGGTAGACGCACTGCTGGGGGCATTCCCAGCTGACACCGGGGGCTCAGTGGAAGCACAAGGCGAAGGCAGAGGTGGAGGAAGAGGTCGCCAACGCAGCTGGGGCACCGCCAGCACCTCAGAAGGCAGGGTTAGCATGGCCGAAATGTGGAAAAGCTTTGTTAGCACTCCACAACAACCAGCACCACCAGCTGATATGGAACGTCTTAGCAGAAGGCATTTCAGCAACATGGTGGAACAGTACGTGTGCACACGCCTACACGTACTGACTGATGGGTCTGCCCCATTCAACTTCTGGGTCTCCAAATTGGGCACATGGCCTGAGCTTGCCCTTTATGCCTTGGAGGTGCTGGCCTGCCCTGCAGCCAGTGTATTGTCTGAACGTGTGTTTAGCACAGCAGGGGGCGTTATCACAGACAAGCGCAGCCGTCTGTCCACAGCCAACGTGGACAAGCTCACATTTATTAAAATGAACCAGGCATGGATCCCACCAGATTTTCTGTACCTTGTGTAGAATAGACATTTATACCGGCCTCACCTAGCCATTGTTATACTCAAGTGCACTTATTCTTTGTTTTCTTTTTTTATATGTCCCAATATTTTGGGGGCTACCCCAATTGTTTGCAGGGCACTTGTCTTACTCTTACCCCCTTTTTACTTCCTTTTGCAGCCCTTTAGCCCTTTCCAGGACTTTTTTGCCTAAAGGTTTGGGTCCCCATTGACTTCAATGGGGTTCGGGTTCGGGGTCAAGTTCGAGGCCGAACTCAAACTTTTTGCCGATGGCAAACCCGAACATCCAGGTGTCCACTCAACTCTAGTTAAAGGAACTTAACATGTATAGCTTGGAGGAAAGACGAGACAGGGGGGATTTGATAGAAACATTTAAATACATAAAGGGAATCAACACAGTAAAGGAGGAGACTATATTTAAAAGAAGAAAAACTACCACAACAAGAGGACATAGTCTTAAATTAGAGGGGCGAAGGTTCAAAAATAATATCAGGGAGTATTACTTTACTGAGAGGGTAGTTGATGCATGGAATAGCCTTCCAGCTGAAGTGGTAGAAGTTAACACAGTGAAGGAGTTTAAGCATGTGTCGGATAGGCATAAGTCTATCCTAGCTATAAAATAAGGCCAGGGACCTAGTGAGAGTATTTAGAAAAATGGGAAGACTAGATGGGCTGGATGGTTATCTGCCATCCCATTCTATGTTTCTATGTAATTCCCACCATGACCCAGAACACTCCTTCTTGTCCAGACATCAATTTCCGACATTTTTTTTACACATCTTCTACTTTTAATGCTAAACTACAAGATGGACTGTAATAAGACATCCAATAAGTCTGATACGTCTAACTTGCCTAAATGGTTTAACAGCGGCAAAAATTACATTCCCTAAATGGATTTTAAGAGGATGCCCAGTTGCAGATAAATGTAAAATATAAAAAATCTTGGAAAGTCCTGGTAGATAACAGTACCATATCACTCATATTAGACAAGAAGCCGTGGTTATCATTTTTACATATGTCAGAAATAGGTCTGGAAATATTTGGACACTGACACAGTTTTCATAATTTTGGCTCTCTACGCCACCACAATACACTGTTCCCTTATTTCAAGGTCTTAAATGTAATTAGACAAATTAACACAATCATAAATAAAATGTTAATGTTTAATACTGTGTCAAGGAACCTTTACAGGCAATGACGGCCTGAAGTCTGGAACACATAGATATCACCACTGGGTATCACTGGGTATCCTTCTTTTTTATGCTTTGCTAGGCCTATTCTGCAGCTGTCTTTAGTTGTTGTTTGTTTGTTGGTCTTTCTACCTCAACTTTTGTTTTCAGCAGGTGAAATGTATGTTCAAATTGGGTTCAGATCAGGTGATTGAATCGACGATTGCAGAATATTGAACTTCTTTCACTTAAACTCCTGTGTTGCTTTCTCAGTATGTTTTGGGTCTTTGTCCATCTGTAAAGTGAAGAGCCGTCCAATCAAATTTTGGCTGAATCTGAGCAGACAATATATCCCTATACACTTCAGAATTTATCTGGTTGCTTTTGTCTTCTGTCTCATCATCAATAAACAATAGGGACCCAGTGCCATTGGATGACATGCATGCCCATGACATCACACTGCCTCCACCATGTTTTACAGATAATGTGGTATGCTTCAGACCACAAGCCATTCCAAGCCTTCTCCATACTTTTTTTCTTCCCATCATTCTGGTACAGGTTGATCTCAGTTTCATCTGTCCAAAAAATGCTGTTCCAGAACCGGGCTGGCTTTATTATAATTAATCTAGTCTGGCCTTTCTATTCTTTAAACATTTTAATGTTTGTGGTGAACCATCTATTTGTTCTTGTAAAGTCTTCTTGGATAATGATATGCCTCCCTCCTAGAGAGTGTTCTTCACTTGTCTGGATGTTGTAAAGGATTTTTTTTTTACCATGGAAAATATTCTATGATCATCCATCACTGTATGTTCCATAGACGTCCAGGATTTTTTGTGTTGCAGAGCTCTCTAGTGCTTCTTTGACCGCATGTTGTGGGTTGACAGCAACAGCTTCCAAATGCGAATGCTACACCTGGAATCAACTCCAAACCTTTTACCTGCTTAATTGAGGAAGAAATAATGAAGGAATAGCCCACACCTGTCCATGAAACAACTTTTGAGTCAATTGTCCAATTACTTTTGGTGAAGGGTTACATATTAAAGAGCTGTCATTTCTAAACCCTTCCACCAATTTGGGTGTGAATACCCTCAAATTTAAGCTGAGAGACTGCATTTTAAGCCCATATTCATTATTTAACTGTACCTTGAATTTATTTTGGTAAACAACCAAAATAACAAAACTTGTGTCAGTGCAGAGAGTGTGCTATCCTTCGACCAAATTGATGCAAATATTTCTGGACCTAGCTGTATATGTGAATACGGAACCTCATATATAGTGTGTGCACAAGAAGAACAAATTAATAGAGAATACCAGATAGCTTTCATGTACGCAAGGAGAAGGTGCAGGAAGTCACTGAAAATGTGATGAGGATGAGATATTGTACGTGTAACACTATGGTAGTGTAGTAGCAGCACACAGAGACTGCTTATTTGAGGAATAAAGCATCTCTACATCTTTTTAATTATCCACCGCTAATCGAGGCTGCCATGGATTTATTATTCTCTAAGCTACAGAAAAAATTATGGGATACAGTAAAATACAGGTCAATTGATTTAACTTACAAGTGGTCATTGGAAAGGCTTATTTAGAGCCAGCTTCATATATCCAGTGACTTAGGACATGAATTCTAAATAAATACTGTGTGTGTCACGTTCATCTAAAAGGAGATTTATATAGACTAATGCACAGGCAGGATTTTATTCCCATCTTTATTGCAGCGGGTCACATGTAAAGAAAAAACATCTTGTATTCACTAAATACTGAATTGCAGTGAAGTGAAAGGTGATTTGCAGCTTAAAGGCTAGTATAGTCAAGCCATGACAAGCACTGGATTTGAGATTTGCACTTAGTACTCTTAGTACTTCAGTTTTTAATGCCTTCACACCTCAGATGCCAATATTATGCATACCTGAGCAGCCAGGTGCCTTTAGTGGTGGTCGTTTATGGTATTTTTTAAAATCACTTTTTTGTGACAGGTACAATACGAGAGAATATTCTTGCATCAAAAATGAGCTGCAAGTCATATCAACTGTTTACATTCCTATAGTCGATCAACCAACACTATCCGAGGCTGCAGCGCAGAACATTGTCAAGAAGCGGCTCAAAATAAAGTACTCTCTCCTCTTAGTGGTACTGATGTATGAGCACTGACATCAGGTGTGTATCCAGGCTGGCTGTCACTGCTCCTTCCTATGTATTCTCCAAGTAAACAAGTCTTGTTAGTGGACCACTTGGATATGATGTCACATTCATTTCACTCTTGAAACAGACCTTACTTACTCAAAAAGGACTGTGCATTGCAAAGAGCAGTGCAAAATAAACGGATTACACACCAGATATTGTTGCTCCTGCACTAATACCATCAGTGAGAAGGGGTGATAGCTTGTGGACAACCTTCTTACATGAAGCTTAGAGACCTGGATGAACATGATGTGCAATGAGAAGAAAATATAGATGAAGCAGGAATGATGTGTAAGGTTTAGACTATATTTGTACATCACACAGTTCAACAGTAGACTTAAATGTTTGTTTCAGGCTGAACTGTAATTCAAATTAAATGGAAACACTGGATTCCTGCTCTGGAGAAAAGATAATGTCTCAATCCACGAGAAATAAGAGGGAAATGGAATCTTTATTAAAGTAACATGACGATGTAGGCTTACAATGAAGGAAAGAATCAATCCGACGCATTTCATGCCCACTACCAAAGTCAAAATAGCCGAATTGGAAAAAACTAAAAGTCAGCTAAGATTTTAGTTCAGCTACACTGGATTTAAATTAGAATTCTCACTTTAGTAAATAACCCTGACATAATCTAAACATGCTACACTTGGCATGGTGGATCCCAAGCTTCTGGCACAAACTGTGGCCATGGAGAGAGGTGAAATTATATCGGTAGACCAACAATACTGATTCCCAATGCAGATCAATAGATTGCTATGCAGAC